TTAAATTTAAATTTATTCTTTAGAAGTGTTTTTTATTCTTATTTTTATTATCTCTTTTTGACTGTTGCACTGAGCCAAAGCAATTTCCAAGTCTGTGACCTCCCGTTACTTACGTTGGCAATAAAAATGATTCTGATTCTGATTCTGATTCTGATTTGTATGAAAGAGCATTGAGTTTTGAGCAAAGGCAGTTCTCGCTTTTTTAAGTTCTTTAGCAGAAAAAGCTGATCGAAAGATGTGACAAAGGCCAAACAATGTGAAAACTAGAACAAACTGTACCCCAACATTAGCATCATTTTGTATTATTCTTCAATGTTGCATACAAACAATATGTACAAACAATGTTTTCAATAATGTGTATTTTGCATAATATATAGCTAAAGATATTTGGCTTAAAACAACGTTATAAGTAAAAGTTCTATTCATGTATGATTCAAGATGGCGCCTCGTACGGTCGACATGGCTCTTTGCTGCTCTCTTTTTCTTTTGTTTTTACTTTTTAACTGTGCATCTGGCTGTTCCTACACCCGTGAGGAACTTATGAACATCCGACCCACCGTTCCCATGGACCTATTGCCTGTTTTCTTGGCATCTGCGGCTGATTTAGTTCATGTTCTAGCCAAAAAAGTGTGGGCCCGTAAAAGGGGAAAGCGCGGAGGCTTGCTCGTGCGTCTTAGGAGGAGAGGAGCGCGCATGGCTCTCCCCGGCATTTTTCTCTCCAACGTACGCTCACTGGGCAATAAGATGGACGAACTCAGCCTGCTCATGAGAAGAAACAAGGACTTCGCCACATCCTGTGTCCTCTGCTTCACTGAGACCTGGCTAAATGAGCGGATCCCGGACTGCGCTCTGGAGCTGCAGGGCTTTGGGCTGTTTCGCGCGGATCGCCATTGTGCGCTCTCAGGGAAGAGCAGAGGCGGAGGGCTCTGTTTCTACGTCAATACAAACTGGTGTAACGATGTGACAGTGATCTCCAAGCACTGCTCTCCTGCTCTGGAATATCTTTTCATTCATTGTAAACCATATTACTCCCCGCGGGAAATTGTTTCATTCATTCTTGCCTCTGTTTACATACCGCCATGCGCGGACGCGCGCGAGGCTCAGCGCGCACTCGCAGAGCAAGTACTGTGTATGGAACGCTTATACCCGGACTCTCTGATTATTATCCTGGGGGATTTTAATAAGGGAAACTTGAGCCAGGAATTACCCAAATACAGACAGTTTATCAAATGCCCGACCAGAGAGGAGAACACTCTGGATCACTGTTACACCACCGTGCGCGGAGCTTTTCGCGCTGTTCCCAAGCCAGCCCTCGGCTTCTCAGATCACTCCATGATACATCTGGTTCCTGCTTACAGACAGAGACTAAAGCTCTCGAAACCTGCAGTGAGGAGCTCCAAAGTGTGGTCTGATGAAGCTGTGGAAGAGCTGCGCGCATGCATGGAATCTACAGACTGGGACCTTTTCAGAGCTGCCACAGACAGCTTGGATGAATATACGGACACTGTGACGTCATACATCCACTTCTGTTGTGAGGATAGCATCATTCCAACAAGGACCAGGGTCATCTATAACAACGACAAACCCTGGTTCACTGCTAAACTCCGGCAGCTCAGGAAAGCAAAGGAGTCTGCTTTCAGGGAGGGGGACCGCAGCGGCTACAAAGCAGCTAAATATCAGTTCAGGAAAGAACTGAAAGCAGCCAAGTCCCGGCACAGAGAACGACTACAGGAGCAGTTTGGTAACAACGATACTGCTTCTGTCTGGAGGGGCCTACGGGAGATCACCAACTACAAACCCAAAGCCCCCCCCTGTGCTGATGACCACAAGCTAGCTGACGATCTGAACTTATTTTTCAGTCGCTTTGATGCTGCCCCTGACACCTCTCCCTCCCCCACCCCCCACTACTCTAACGACCCACCCATCAGCCCTGCCCCCAGCCTAACAATAGCCGCTAAAGAGATTAAACAACTCTTCCTGAGGCTGCACCCCCGCAAAGCTCCTGGCCCGGACCACGTGTCTCCGGCCACTCTGAGACACTGCGCCAGTGAGCTTACTCCTGTGTTCACGGACATTTTCAACTCCTCTCTGCAGTCCTGCCATGTCCCGGCCTGCTTCAAATCCTCCATCATTGTCCCCGTCCCGAAGAAGCCCAGGATCACAGGACTCAATGACTACAGACCTGTAGCACTTACGTCTGTCGTCATGAAGTCATTTGAACGCCTGGTTCTCTCCCATCTCAAGTCCCTCACCTCCCCCCTCCTGGACCCCCTGCAGTTCGCCTACAGAGCCAACAGATCTGTAGACGACGCCATTAACCTGGCCCTCCACCACATCCTACAGCACCTGGACTCCCCGGGGACCTACGCCAGGGTCCTGTTCGTGGACTTCAGCTCTGCCTTCAACACAATCCTGCCATCCCTGCTCCAGGACAAGCTCTCCCAGCTCAACGTGCCCGATTCCACCTGCAGGTGGATCACTGACTTCCTGACGGACAGGAAGCAGCGAGTGCGTCTGGGGAAGAATGTCTCGGACTCTCGGATTATAAATACAGGAGCCCCACAGGGCTGTGTTCTTTCTCCCCTGCTCTTCTCCCTGTACACCAACCACTGCACCTCCAGCCACGACTCCGTGAAGCTGATCAAGTTCGCGGACGACACCACCCTCATTGGACTCATCTCCAACAACGATGAGTCCGCCTACAGGAGGGAGGTGGACCGGCTGGTGTCCTGGTGCAGTGGTAACAACCTGGAGCTGAACGCCCAGAAGACAGTGGAGATGATTGTGGACTTCAGGAAGAGCACTGTCCCCCCGCCCCCACCCTCCGTGATGGACTCCCCCATCACCTCTGTGGAGTCCTTCCGTTTCCTGGGCACCACCATCACCCAGGACCTCAAGTGGGAGCCGACCATCAGCTCCCTCATCAAGAAGGCCCAGCAGAGGATGTACTTCCTGCGGCAGCTCAGGAAAGCCAAGCTGCCTGCACAGATGTTGGTGCAGTTCTACACGGCCATCATCGAGTCCATCCTCACCTCCTCCATCACCGTGTGGTTCGCTGGAGCCACAGTCAGGGACAAACAGAGACTACAGCGCATTGTGCGCTCTGCAGAGGAAGTGATCGGCCGCAGCCTTCCATCGCTGCAGGACCTGTACGTCGCCCGAGCTCGAGGCCGGGCTGGTCGTATCACAGCCGACCCCTCTCACCCTGCACATGGACTATTCCAACCACTCCCCTCAGGCAGGAGGCTGCGGTCCATCAGGACTAGAACCTCCCGCCACAAGAACAGTTTCTTCCCCTCTGCTGTTGGACTCTTGAACACTTCTTAACCTGTCCCCCCGCCCTTTATAAAGTCACTTTACTGCCCATCATACGTCACTTTACTTCACTGTACTGCTGTCACCTTACATTGTGTGCACCATGTGCACTTGTATATTGTAAATAGTAACTGTAACTCTATTTTAAATTTAAATTTATTCTTTAGAAGTGTTTTTTATTCTTATTTTTATTATCTCTTTTTGACTGTTGCACTGAGCCAAAGCAATTTCCAAGTCTGTGACCTCCCGTTACTTACGTTGGCAATAAAAATGATTCTGATTCTGATTCTGATTCTGATGTATATACAGTATTTTGAGGATCACACAAACAGCAACATGAAAGTAATGAAAAGCAGAGAATAGTGTACAATAAAGAAATGACCTCTAAACTATATCAAACATCATGTTTTGCCAAAAGGACTAAGCAATAACTCTGGAAAATAAAAAGTGGTGGGTTCTTTTACAGTGATATTTGACAGGGGAAATGTCAAAGCACTAAAGCCTCACCAGACCCACGATCACAGCGGACACAGAGGGCTCTTTTTATGTCTTTGTGACATAAATTCTGCCAATGTGCGAGGAGGTGATAACAGGCAGACATGTCCAATTCAACACTTCTGCGGTTTAACTCTGCAGCTGACCCAAAATAATCTTTCACGTTCTTGAGGATGTCCTGCAATTTCTTTTTAAAACAGCAATCATTTAGTCAGGCTCTTTTACATGGCCATACAATTGTGGACTATAGAGATTCTGAAGCCATTCTGATTAACTGTTTTTTAGGTTCAGTGCCAGAGCATGGTTATCTGAAAATCTTATCACACCTATTTTGTAGTTACTTGTCTTATAACTCATACGAACAAAATATAGCTTCATCTTTGGCTATTTTTCCCTAATAGATCTATTCTGGACTGTTCACTTTGTCATGTCATATGTTATGTAATATCTTCAACTATTCTATTTTTCAAATGTATTAAAACATCATCAAAGTTAAAAATGCTTTCCGTCTGTAACTCCCTATGCTACCACCAGAGGGAGGAGCTGAATTTATGTTTTGTTTTTATTTGAATTCTAAAATGATTATCTGCAAACACAACCATAATTTAGCAGAATATGTCTCTTTGACAGAAGGAGGCACATCACATGATCAAAATACCCCATGAAAAAAATCTATGCAGTATCAACATGGGTGTCAACTCTTGTTTTTAGACTTGTATATTAAATGCATTCATCTTATTAGTAAAGACATTGAGTTACCAACTTGATGAGGTCAAAATAATGTCTATAATCTCTGCTCTGACAACTCTATCACAATAAAAATACACATATTAGCCGCATCGCTATAAAATCTCTTGTAAATTTTGTAATTTCTAATCCGTGGCCAAATCAACCATTCTCTGATGTGATTTTGGGCAATACACAAATATTTAGGGTGTTTCCCCTTTTGCGTCTTCATTTCTTTTCTTCCGTGCTTGCTCCCAAAGGTTCATTTGTGGGATGAACTAAACTCAGCATGCTGCCTAAACCCCTTCCTTCATACTATTTTATTTATAGTGAAAATTGCTCTGTTTTGTGAGGGAATACTTACTTGACTGATGTAAGATTGTGAAATGATGTGCTCTCTTTTCATTCAAAAACACCACCAGAGTTACAATGAAATAAATACTCAAACTAATCTTTCTTTTCAGATGTACATCACGAGCACCATCAAAACCAAATCCAGCCGCTTGGCCAAACCGGTCCTGTGTCTGGGGACCCTGTGCTCAGCTTTTCTCACGGGCCTCAATCGCGTATCCGAGTACCGCAACCACTGCTCCGACGTGGTGGCCGGCTTCATCCTGGGATCTGCTGTGGCTCTGTTTTTGGTAAGACAAATTTTGGTTTATTTTGGAAATTAGATATGAAAAGGTTAATTACAAGATACACATACTACATACTATCTCAATTCAATTCCTGTCAATATATTCTTGTATATCCCTGAATCACAATAGTAGTTATCTCGAAGGACTTTACAAAACTGTTGAATTCGCCAACACAGATCAGAGAATTAAACTTTTCAAACCCAAGAAATGCAATGGTAAAAAACACATAGGGCCATTGGTCCATTATATTATTATTATTATTATTATTATGTGTTTGGTTGATAGGGACAGAACAAGAAGCATTGCTACAGGAACTGATGCTATACAGTATGTTCATAGGCCTTATAGCGTACAGCTAGTTTGCAGACCTGGTCCCTAAAACAAAGAAATACATCACATTTAAATAATACATTTATTAGTAGTAGTAGTAGTATTTTTATTTGAGCAGTTTGACAATACACAATAACATGCACAAATAATTCAAAAAAAGACAAAAAAAGAAAAGAAAAAAGGCTCAAAAGGAGAAGGCCGAAGCAAAAGCTTATATGTGCCTTCCCCATTCTCAATTTATTCATTTAAGCGGCTGCAAAATATTTAAAAATTTCACATGACATTCCTGATTTTTGCCATCATCATTTTTATCTTGTTGATGCAAACAAACAAAAATATCAGCAATGCTTATCAAATTATGTTCCATCCAGTTCATCGCAATAATAAATGTAATCTTCATTGCTTTTACAACATGTGGTGCATTCAGAGCTGTAGCCCCCTCTGTGTCTGGAAACTGTTCTGTGTAGTGCATTAAAAAGACAAGGCTTTATGGACCTATTGGAGGGAGGGGTCCTCTACCCAACAGACCCACACCATGTCTACCCTCATTCTCAATTTTTCAGAGCAGCTGGAGCGATGATACAAGAGGAACTACCAAACCAGATTTTTGTTGAGATAATTTCTCAAACTGACCTCTACCTTTGGTAGAATCAGGAATGATAAGTGACTGAACCAGAGAAAGAAAAGAAAAAAAAAAAAAAAACAACACATATATGCACACACATACATTCACATATACATATATATATATATATATATATATATATATATATACACATACACATACAGATATACACATATACATATATACATACATACACATACACACACCTACACAAACACATAAATATATAAGATATGCATTAATGAACTTACATACACATAGATCGAGTTTTTCCCAAAAGGGCATCATTCTAAAGTTTTATAAGTATCAATTACACCTGCTTTATACTTTTTTTTGAACACTTTTATGGATGTGGTTACCTTTAACTCGTTATCGAGTTTGTTCCATAAATCAACTCCTCTAAATGAGATACAGTGGTTTTTAATATTAGTCCTGGTCTTGGGTTTATGGTACAAATCCTTCCCTCTGATATCATAGTGCGGTTCTCTCAGTGTAAATCTCTCCTGGATACAACTTGGAACCATATGATGATTTGATTTTGTACATCAGTGCTGCAGTATTTAGTTTGACTAAGTCTTGTAATTTTAAGGTATTCAATCTGATGAATAGTGAATTTGTTTGCGCATAATAATCTACACCATTTACTATTCTAATTGCCTTCTTCTGCAGTATAAAAATGTGTTGAGTTGTGGACTTATAAGTGTTCCCCCATATTTCGGAACCGTAATTTAAATATGGCAAAATTAGGGTATTATATATCAACTGCAATGCTTTCTGATTCAAAACTTGTTTAATTTTATTCATTATGCCAATGGTTTTGGAAATCTTAATTTTAAGGTAATTTATGTGTAATTTCCAGTTTATTTTTTCATCTATATTGATACCTAAAAACTTTGTATTACTTACCCTCTCTATTACTATGTGACCTATTTTTAATTCAGCCAGTGCATCGATTTTCCGGTTTCCGAATATAATATACTTAGATTTTGCTAAATTCATAGATAGTTTGTTATAGTCAAACCATTTTTTTAAGATTTGTAGTTCTTTTCCCACTCTGTCCAAAATCTGATCAACACTTTTCCCAGAGGAGTAAATACTGGTGTCATCAGCAAATAAAATATATTTCATTTTTCTGAACGCAAGACTAATATCATTTACATAAATATTAAACAATTTGGGTCCAAGTACAGAGCCCTGTGGAACCCCATGGGTAATCTTTCTTTTTTCAGAATTAGTGTTATATATTTGTACATATTGATCTCTGTCACTTAGATAATGTTTTAACCAATTTTGTGCTACCCCTCTGATTCCATATCTCTCAAGTTTTAATAATAGTAAATCATGGTTTATAGTATCAAAGGCCTTGCTAAGGTCGATGAAGACCCCCACCGTAAACTCTTTGTTATCAGTGGCTTTTGCTATTTCTTCTACTAGTTCCATGATTGCCATTGAGGGTGATCTATTGCTCCTGAACCCAAACTGATAATCCGTTAGTAAGTTATATTTATTAAAAAAAACTTCTAACCTTATAACAAAGAGCTTCTCTAGAATTTTTGAAAATTGCGGAAGTAGCGATATTGGTCTATAATTGGTGAACTCATGTTGGTCTCCCCTTTTGTAAACAGGTATAACTTTTGCTGTTTTCATTTTCGATGGAAATATGCCAGTAAGAAAAGACTGATTACAAATATATGTGAAAGGTGTCACAATACAATCTATAATGTCCTTTATTAAGACCAAGTCAAGATCAAAACAATCTGTTGATTTTTTATTTTGTAATCTGTGCACAATATTGATTATTTCATGTTCGTCTACACTTCTAATAAAGAATGAATTATTGTTACATTTAATTTTTTCTGAACTAATATCCTGAACATCTGATGGTTTTGGGATTTCATTTGCCAGATTGGATCCAACGTTTACAAAGAAATGATTAAACTCATCAGCAATATCCTTTTTTTTTATAATAGTTTTTCCCTCTTTTAAAAAGAATAGTGAATGATCATTTGATTTATTTTTATGTTTTATTATCCTATTAAGAATTTTCCATGTACCCTGTATGTTATTTTTGTTGAGTTCCAATGATTTATTATAATAATCTCTTTTGGTCAATCTTATTACTTTTGTTAATTTATTTTTATAGGTTTTATATCGTTCTTCTGTTTCCTTTGTTCTATTTTTTATAAATAATTTGTATAAATGTTGTTTCTTTTTACATGCATTTGCTATGCCTTTGGTTATCCATGGTTTCTCATGACCGCTTGCATCTTTAATAGAAATGATTTTTGTTGGGCAGTGTTTGTTATAGAGGCCAATGATTGTAGACAGAAAAGCGTCGTACGCCTTGTCAGGGTCAGGAGCATCATATATCTCTTCCCAGGAATGATTACATAGTTCTACTTTTAAATTTGCTAGTGCCTCAGGTGTTTTTTGTCTAATCATTCTATATTTATTTGTTTTAGATTTGCTCGACGTTTTAAGGAGCTGGAAAAAAATACAAAAAACAGGAAGATGATCAGTAATGTCGTTTATAAGTAATCCAGCAGTAACTTTGTGCTCAAGTATGTTTGTAAATATATTGTCAATGAGTGTGGCTGTATCCATAGTAATTCTTGTTGGTTTTGTTATTAAAGGAAATAGATTATTACTGTACATTGTAGTGCTAAAATCTGTAGTTCTTAAATTGTTTTGGGGATTTAAAAGATTTATATTAAAATCACCACAGATAATGTGCTTCTGTTTTACGCTACTAAACAACATTTCAATTGTTTGATTAAATGTCTCTAGACATGTTCCGGGCGCCCTGTACAGACAGCTAACAATAACATTTTTGGATTTTTCAACCTCAATCTCAACAGTTATGCACTCCAGAACTCCCTCAATGGCAATTGACATATTTTTAACAACTTTACAAACAAGCTCGTTGCTCACGTATAATGCAACACCTCCACCTTTTTTGCAGATACGATTTGTGGTAAATACGTTGTACCCTTCTAATTCTACTTCACAAATTTTATTATCATCTAACCATGTTTCTGAGAATGCTATGACAGTGAATTTATTAAGATTACTAAGATATTCTTTAATCTCCTCAAAGTTCTTATATAAGCTTCTACTATTGAGATGTATAATACTGAGTGCTCCTTCCGTGTTCACATTATTGAACTGTTCATTGGAATAATATTTACAGTCATATATTAAATCATTGTAAAAGTTACTATCTGGATCAATATCTTCACCAAACTCATTTAATTTGTATTCCATTTCATTATTTAGATTATAGATCTCACTCTCAGTCATTTGTATCAGCTAATTCCTCCTCACTAAAAGTCCTACACCCATACACACAATGTTTTACTGTATCCGGACAAGAGAAAGGGGCAGAGAGACTAATAACAAAGGGAGTAATATAGTCAAAAGGGATAAAACAAAAAACCCAGGAAATTCCATTATCAATTTTTTTTCCCTCTATTTCTTCTCTAAGAGACAAGGGAAACAAAAGTCCTCCATCAGTTCTTTTCACTAACTTTCTATTTACCCTATGAGTAGACAGCATTTTCATCGGAATTGATCAAGGTCTCTTAATTCTCTTACCACAAGAACTTTAGTTTCCTCTGGGGACGATCCATTGAGTTGGATGAAAACCTTGCAGTTCCTCGTCCAAGTTGCTTTTATCTTGTTGTTCTTTCGTAGGATGCGGGCTTCTCTGGCCATCTCAGCATTTCTCTTTGTGAGATGTTCATTCACATAAACTGTTGACCCTTTTAGCTTCTTTCCTTGACGTAGTAGCTCTGTTTTGAACCGTCTGTTTACAAATCGCAGAATAATTTATCCATCCATCCATCCATTTTCTTCCCCTTAATCCATTTCTGGGTCGGGGGGGTGGCAGTCATAGATGCCACTCAGTACACATAGCACCAGCCCCTCACTGATCCTCCTGCAGGGGGTGAGTCGACAGGAGGATGGCTGATCTGTTGGTACAGTAGAGCCTTGATCTTTCAGCAGGGGCTTCAGACAAAGTGGGGTTAAGTGTCTTGCCCAAGGACAC